AGTCCTGTTTTGTGTTGAGGTCTTCAGCACCGCTCCCCTTTTTTTTTTTTTTTTAAGTACATCTAGCGATATCAATCCCCAGACAAGGACAGCACTACTGAACTAGAAACATTAAGGAAGTTAAGACAGGTTGTGGCAACAGGGAACACAGTAATAATGGGGGGGACTTCAACTATCCATAAACAGACTAAGTCAATCTAACATCAGGTCATGATCCAGAGATCAAATCTGACAAAGTTATGGCACCTACAAGAGGAAAAGCCATTTCTGACCTAGTCCTAAATAGCGCACAGGATTTAGTGCAAACTGTAAGTGCGACCAAGCCACTAGGCAATAGTGCCCACAATGCAATTGAGTTTGAAAACCACGTAGGAGGGGAGACAAGAAAGTCTACCACAGTAACCTTTACCTTTAAAAAGGGAGACAACAAAATGAGGAAGCTACTTAGGCAGAAATGGAAAACAAACCTTAATGAAGAAAATAAATAGAAAAAGAGAATAAATACTGGCAAAGCAAATATAAAAGTATAATAAGACAAGCTAAGAGAGAATTTGAGGATAAACTTAGAGACATAAAAGGTTATAGTATTTTTTTTAAGTACTTTAGAAGCCAATGACCCACCAGGGAGTCAGTTGGGCCTTTGGATGATCAGGGTATAAAAAAAGTGGGGGGGCGCAAAAGGATGACAGGGCCATTGACAAGAAACTAAATGTATTCTTTGCATCTGCCTCTGCTGTGGAAGATGTTAGAAAAATTCCCTCACCAGATCTACTCCTCTCTGGGGACAAGTCAGTGGAGATGACCCAAATTGAGGTTTAAATAGAAATTGATAAATTAAACAGTAGCAAGTCATCAGGGCCTGGTGTCATTCACCCTAGGGTCTCGGAGAACTCAAATCGGAAACTGCTGAACTCCTAACTATAGTATACAACCTAGCACTCAAAACAGATGGCTGGAGGGTTGCCAGCGTGACTCGTGTATTTAAAAAAAGGCTCTAAGAAGGATGCAGGGAGCTGCAGGCTGGTGAGCCTAACTTCTGTTACTGGAAAACTGGTAGGAAAAATAATAATAATAATAATAATAATAAATAATTGTTCAGTACATGGATAAACATAACTTCCTGGGGAGGAATCAACATTGCTTTGTCAAAGGGTAACTGCATCTCACCAGCCTACTAGAGTTTTGAGGGTGTCAATAAGCAGGTGGATCAGGGCAATCCAGTTGACACAGTTGACTTCCAGAAAGCCTTTGACAAGGTCCCACTTCAGAGGCTGTTAACTAAGTTAGATAGTCACAAACGTACAGGGAACATCCACTCACAGATTAGAAATTAGTTCAAAGATGTAGATAGATGTGAAGTGACGCACTTGGCCAAAAGCAAGCCAAACAATACCAATGCCTATGCTATGATGGGCTCTACATATGATCTGCTACCACACAGGAAAGAGATTTGGGAGTCAACGTGGACAGTTCACTAAAAATATCAGCTCAGTGCCCGGCAGCAGTCAAAAAAACCCAAACAAAATATTAGGAATTGTTAAGAAGGGAAACTGCAAACAAAACTGAAATTATCATCATGCCCCTTTATAAATCCATGGTATGTCCACACCTGGAAAGCTGCCCAGTTTTGGTCCCCACACCTCAAAAAGGATAGAGAAGATATAGAGATGGGCAACAAGGATGATTAGTGGTATGGAGGGGCTTCCATATGAGGAGAGACTAAAAAGGCTAGACATATTTAGTTTAGAAAAGAGATGCTTGAGGGGGGACACATTAAAGGTTTACAAAATCCAAAGTGGCAAAGAGAAAGTAAATGAGAAATTATCATTTACTCTTAAACAATACAAGAACTAGGGGTCACAAAAAGAAACTAGTAGGTAGTAAGTTTTAAAGTAACAACAGGAAGTTCTTTTTTACACAACGTGTAATTAAAGTGTGGAACTCATTGGTGTGGAAGCTGACAATGTAGTTAGATTCAAAAAAGGATTGGAAAAATTTCTTGGAAGAAAGGGGCATCAATAGCTATTGAGCACGGAAGGTAGGATACAACCTCTGAATCAGAGCTTCCTAGACTTTAAATGCTGGAAGCTGCAAGTGAGAGAGGAATGGTCATACCCAGCTCACTCTTCCCTTCAACATCCATTCTCTGCTACTGTGTGACACAGGATACTGGGCAAGAAGGACCTATGGTCTCCCAGTAAATGGCAATTCTTATGGTCTTATGTTAATTACTGTAATAACTGTACTGGAAATATTGGGAAACAACTGTAAAAGAGAATACCTGATTTCAATACTAAGCTCTTCAAACCGTGCTTCTTTTGGATTTAGAAGAAATGACACTGTTAGTTATAAAATGAGACTGGAACTTTATTAAGAGTTAATTTAAGTATTCTATAGCATTCTAATAAGCAAGCATTCAGAAAAAGCATTATAAAAATTAATCCAACCATCATTTTAAAGTACTTGTAGTGGACAGTTAAACTGATCATTTTTGTCTCTGATGAGCTACCTTACAATTTACAAAGGTACATGAGAAGAGAACTAAAAGCTTTCCAAAAGGAACATCATTCCATCAGAAAGTGCTGCTTCAACAGAAACTACAAGTTATGTAGAAACATATCAACTTCACTTAAACTTTTAACTAAAACCAAGCAAGGAAGCAGATTGGCCACCTCTGCCTGCCTGGTTTCCAGCCAGCCCACCCATCAAATGGTTGGCAGAAGGTAGCTAGACTCCACAGACCATAAGACTACTCAACTGCCAGCCTGAAGAGAAGTTGTGAAGCCTGGGCTCCCAGGTTTACCAGCTCCAGACTTCCTAGAGGAACAAACTGAATTATTCTGTTTCAAAGCTGTTTGCATCAGAACTTTAAAGGCATGCACTGAAGTGACATGTGAATAACTGGCTTCAATATATTTCGTGTCCTGACTTCAACTTGTAGCTTTGGCAAAGCTGTAATTGTAAGGATCATACAAAAGGAGAAAAATTTTGTTGAAAGTTTTAATTGATGCCAGATCCATCTGTGTTTCTTCCCCAGACACAGTAAAATTTACAAGCATTTTGCAATTTTTGCCAGCGGACATTATCAGCATGACTGTGCCTCACTTAGACTGTGCCTCACTTACGACAAAGTGAGGCAAGTTTAACTAGCATCAACAGGTAGGTACACCACCATTCATATGTTGTGCTCATTTACATAGTATTGCATCCAAGTCAATATCTGTTAAAAAAGATTCTGTTTTCTGCTGGAACAATCAAGTAAAATATAAAGTGTATAGTTATATTGCAAGTTACATGTTTCAGTCCTATCCACAACATTAAAGGATTAAAGGAAATTCTTCCCATGTTTTAATCCAAGCTCTACCACAGATCAGCAACAGCAGCTGGGCCAAGTGATAAACTCGGTCCTTACAGGGGAAAGTATTAAAAAAATTTTAAATCACTGAAAAAAAAACAAACCTTAAAATAACCAGGCTGCCCAGATGCTTATAGATGACTGATACAGTACTTAAAGTAAAAGGGAGCGAAGGAGGAATGGGGAAAGTAGTAAACCTATAACCAAGCAGCAAGAGTTATATCAGAGGTTAAAATCAGGATTCCACATGTTCTGAAGAAACACAGAAAACTCAAAAGTTGTTGCATGAGAAAAACACAAACACATTGCCTCCCTAAAAAGCAGGCATGCATATAGCAAAATGCTATTAATTCTTGTATACAATACATGAGATTAAACAATATTACACAACTTTCTGCTTTCTTCCATTAGAACACACAGGGTTGCTGCTTTTGGATTGTTCTCTTTTTCTTCTACAGCAGTGTAGACCTTTTGACTGCATAAGATGAGATGCATTAAATTATGTCCACAGCATAATGTTAACTAATCCTGAATACCACTTTTTTGTTTTTCTGCACAAAGCAATTACCTTTTTGGGATATTCATAAGTACAGAAAAATACTTTTTGGAATTCATAAATATAACAATAGAAAATTTAAGAAGATTATCCCAAGTAAACATATAAATGAAGCCATAGTTTACTTTATTTCCTAAAACCTACTGGTCCTTTAGGAAGTGGGGGAGGGGAAAGAAATATGGAACTTGGAGAAGTCATACCTTTTGACAGGCTCTTTTACAAACATGCTTGTATTCTTTAGCTTTGGATTCAGAATGATAGCCTGCACCTATGGTTAAAGAAAAGTAACATTAGATCAAAATATTACAGTAGCTCTCAAAATATTTTTCATCGGCACTTATAACCAAGGTCAACTTGAACATTCTGAATTAGATGCATGTATCTGAAAACTTCTTAAAATGAAAAAATTGGACATGCCCAGACATCTCAAAAATTCATTCAAGTATAATCATGCCCCAGGATTATATATAAGAGATTTGATCCATTTTAAAAACACCCATTGGGAGATACCAGTTTTTTCCATCCATGGGGAATTTTGAATACAACTGGATATCCTAAAAGTCATAGCTGCATTGGTAATGTGTATAAGCCATACTCCGAAGTTTCTTTTTATCTTTGGCCTGTAAGCTGTTCCTTTCTTATCCCTTCTTCCACTTTTTCAAGCCTCCACTAGATTTTTTTAAACCCCTTACTTCTGCTCAGTCATTGCCGTGTCTCAAGACAGGTCACTTTTAGTTTTGTTTGCTCCCCAACTTCTGAAGTTGTGTCTAAGCACTACTTTGCCCTCAGTTCATCATCATTACTCACCTCCACAGTCCGAAAATATTTTAGCAATGACCAGAGCAGGAGCTCTATTATACCAGCAAAAATGGTAACAACAGGATCCATAAATGTATAAATTTTTAAATATCTAAAGACTAGCAAATTATTTTTTTTTCCTTCTCTTACTTGTAACATTTCTCTAGGGTCCCTTTTCACCACAAGTTCCAACCCTGCTTAAACAGTCAGTTTAGCTTAACTGAGGTCTCAACAGAAGGAAGTTAAAACAAACAGGATACAACATGATGAACAGGTTGCTGCATACTGCACAAGTCCATTTGTTCTTGTTCAAGGCAGAACAGCCAGGTCTTTGAACAGGAACTTTGAGCAAGCCCTTCAAAGTTCAGCTTACCTGGGAGACCTTGTTTTGTTTGTTTTCAGAAGACAGCAGCTTTTAGCCCTTCAGTCTTGAAGCGTCACCTCAAGCTATAGTCAGGAAACACATGCTAAACATAAATCATCAGCTAGACAACAGCTTAACTGCTGCTCTCCTGCCCCTAGTTACGTTTTCTCCTAGAAAGCTAAGTTAGGACCCTTAACTCCCTTAATGGAAGCAACAGAGCTGGAAGTCACTATGAATGCAGCTGCAAACATTAGCTGCTACAGGTCAGAAGAATCCTAGGTAAAAAAGCACCAGGATTTCTTCAGTCCTGAAGTCCACTGGTTCACACATCTCAGTTTCACTTCATCGCATCTCAAGCTCACTTTCTTTCTTTTCTTATACTTTATTGACATTCAAAGTATACCTTATTGTTAGACCTTCCACAATATATGGATTATGTTTTCCCCCTTGTTCAATGCTATATTGTGGGGACAAGTTAAATCAGTTAGGATATCAGCCCACCCTAAGTGTTTTCCTTAGACAAGATGCTGAGATCACCATTAAAGCTTGTTTTTCCACAACCTGTGCCATGCTGTCAGGCACAAACGGCATACTTACAGGACAACAATGTAGTGCAGAAACTGCAGCATTTCCAGTCTTATCCCCAGAGCCCTCTCATCTTCAAAATGTATCCCTTGTAAACATTAAATATTGCAAGATCTGGATCAGAAAAGAGAAAGAAGTTTCCAAAGGCTAATGTGGGCTGCTGACAAGTAGGACTGGTGTTGATGTAAAGCCCACCATGTATTAGGTACAGAAGACTAAGCTCTGGGGTGACCCATCTGCAAAAGTCTGCAAAGCTGGATCACAACCCCAGGAAACAGTCTTGTCATCTGGAAATAGGGTACTGTGTAGGCAGTTTGGAAGAATGAGTTGCTGTTTTGGAACTGGGTAACAGGTAGGCCATTAGCACAAAACTAAAAAACAGCAAAGGAAGGGAGACAGAGAGAAAATTGCTCATATACTGATAGACTATAGTCTTGTGCACTCAGGCTGAGATCAACAGAAGTATTTAGGAGGCTAACTCCCATTGATTTCTACAAGTAACGTGACTCTCTCACAGCCCAGAACCAGCCCTAGACATGCAAATCATGCAACTGCACAGGTATTTGGGCCTAAGATAGAAAATATCATGGATAAGTTCTAACTAGCTGACCAGAAATTCTGCCTGCTCAGCAACATACAGACTACCCTAAAAAACACAAATTAGGCACCTCTAGTTTTCTCCAATCCTGTCTTAATTTGGATGCAGCAAAAATAGAAGGGAAGGTTAAGGATGGAGGAAAAAACGAGGAGCAGCTGCACCAACACTGAAGCACTAATAAGTCACATATTTTCATACTTAAGAGTAAATGAAGAGATTGGCTTGAGTCAGCAAGAAGTCACTATACAATTCTCTTGGTCCTAAACAAAGCCAGGGAAGTCTGAGCCAAAAGAGAACCATCTACCTGTTTATAACTAACAGGGAGGATAAGATGCAAGTGAGATACATTTTAACTGTTTTCCATCATTTCCTGCCCTGGGTTAGGCTGCATCTCGCTGAGGCCTGAGGAAATAACTATTTTTCAGTAGAAGTTAAACTCACAAAAAAAAGTATTGAGTTATCAAAGACTGGGCAAAACAAACTCACAAGACCTAAAGTGACCTGCCACCAACAGGGTAGAAAGGGAAGGAGGATCTGGAGAACTACAGACCAGTCATGGCCTCACCTTAGTCCCTGGAAAAATCATGGAGCAGGTCATCAAGGAATTCATTTTTAAGCATTCGGAGAAGGTGATTAGGAACAATTAGCATGGATTCACCAATGGCAAGTCAAGTCTGACCAACCTGACTGCTTGATTGCCTTCTATAATGAGATGATTGGTTCTGTGGATGAAGGACGTGATATATCTCGACTTTAGCAAGGCTTTTGACACAGACTCGCACAACATTCTCACAAACTAAAGAAGTATGGGTTGGATGAATGGATTGGAAAGTGGATAGAAAACTGGCTGGATCATTGGGCTCAAAGGGTAGTAATCAATTGATTCATGTCTAGTCGCTAGCCAGCATCAAGCGGAGTGCCCCAGTGGTCAGTCCTGGGGCCAGTTTTGTTCAGTATCTTCATCAACAACCCAGAAGGTGGGATGGAGTGTACCCTCAGCAACTTTGCAGATGAAACCAAGCTAGGGGCAGCAGATGTGCTGGAGAGTAGGGTTAGGATTCAGAGAGACCTCAACACATTGGAGGACTGGACCAAAAGAAATCTGATGAAGTTCAATAAGGAAAAGTGCAAAGTCCTGCACTTACAATGGAACAACCTTATGCACCAATACAGAGTGGGAGCTGACTAGCTAAGCAGCAGCTCTGCATAAAAAGACCTGGGGGGTTACAGTGGATAATAAGCGGAATATGAGCCAACAGTGTGCCCTTGCTGCCAAGAAGGCTAACAGCATATTGGGCTGCATTGTAGGAGCGTTGCCAACAGATTGAAAGAAGTGATTATTCCTCTCTATTTGGCACAGGAGTACTGTGTCCAAATTTGGGCCCCCAACTATAGAAAGGATGTGGACCAGTTGGAGACAGTCCAACAGAGAGCAGCAAAAATTATTAGAAGGCTGGAGCACATGACTTATGAGGAGAAGCCACGGGGCTTATTTAGCCTGGAGAAGAGAAGCCTGAGGAAGAATCTAACAGCAGCCTTCAGTTACCTGAAGGGTGGTTCCAAAGAGGATGAAGCTAGACTGTTCTCAGTGGTGGCGGGCGACAGAAAAAGGAGCAATGGTTTCAAGTTGCAGCAATGGACGTTTAGGTTGGATATTAGGAAAAACTCTCTCACTAGGAGAGTAGCAAACCACTGAAACAGGCTACCCAGAGAGGTGGTAGAATCTCTATCCTTGGAGGTGTTAAAGACCTGGTTAGACTAAGCCTTGCCCGGGACAATCGAGCTGGGGCAGGTCCTGCTTTGGGCAGGGGGTTGGACTCGATGACCTCCTGAGGTCCCTTTCAACCCTAATTTTCTATGATTCTATGACATATTACAACAAAGCTGACTGAGCTGACGGTTAGGAGTTTTTTTTAAAAGAATCAAGTAAAATCTGAAACTTTTTCTCCTTGGAGAAATCTAGCTGGAGGATCTCTCCTACGCAGGGACCCTAAAGTCAAACAGTGACCTTTGTGTATACCCCCGACGCTTCCCAATTACTAGAAACTGCTATACAATTTACATTTTACAACCTGGTTTCTTTGATTACTGAATAAAAGTTCTGTTCATTAGAGTATCTGTGAACTTTCAAAAGTTATCTAAATGTTGGGTCTAAACAGTAAGTGTCCAAGATCTTCCAGCCAGTGCACTTACCAAATAGGTTCTCTACAACAAGATATAAAAGATTTGTTGTCCAGAATTCAAACCAATTAATAAATTTAGCTAGCTCCATATCTTATTATGGAATTAAAACTGGCATCCTGCAGATGCATGCTGCTCTTCTGTTCCAGCTGTATCAAACTTGGGATGCCTTACCTGCATGTACAAGTACAAAACCCACTCGTTTCCCTCTTTGGGTTTGCTTTGTTTCATGTTCTTTGACGATCACCTTTACAGCTGTAATCTGAGATGAGTTGGAAGGTAACACTTCTATTGAACTCATCCCCTTCTCCATCATCATACTTCGGGATCACCATCTTCTATTCGAAAGAGGGCATGCTTCCTTCCATAAGTAAACTCTGGAGAGGATTTATCCTAAAAGCAAGCCACATGCAAAATTTAGGCACTGCTTTCCATTGGCCATAAATTATGAAAAAGGATGCCACAAAAACAATAGCAGATCTAAAATTAAAGTTAGGGTCAGTTTTTGTCCACTGAGATCAGGGGCTGAAAAAGCTTCTTTGCCAGCTTACAATATATAACGTGAGTAACTATGGACCTCCCCAAGTAATTTTATTATACCGCAATTTAGAAGCAGGGACACTTAGGTTTACTTTGAGTCCAACAATGTTGCTGGCCTTTTTAAGGATTTGAGCTCTAAAGTTTAGCTCTACTGAGAAGTTTAGCCAAAGTAAAATATTTTTTTCTTTGATAACACCCATTTAATTCTCTTCCTTATGATCAACAATCTTTACTAAACTGATGCACTAGTATATCAGCCTTTATTTTTCAAAAAGGCATTTTTGTAGCAAGGACAGCTGTGCAGAAAGTATAAAAAAAATACAAGTAACAAAATGGTGATTCTCTCTAGGACAGAGACTAGATAATAGGAACTATTAAATAGCTTGACTTCATTTCCTTGCTTTGAGGGATATTATTTATCTCTTGAGGATAAATTTTACTTGTTACTGTTATTTTGTACATACATACTTCTATTTAGAGAGGTACACATTAAACATGTTGTGAACAGGCAGTCTAGCAACCTCATAAGTTATGAACATTCAGAGCATATGTAAAGACATTTATGGAGCTTATTTTACTATATATTAACACAAAAGACAGAGATCCACTTCTACTAAATGGCTTGTTCTTGGGAGCTGGCACTTAAAAGACACCACAATCAATTCCTTTTCCTCAAATATTATCCTTGGATACCCTCCTTGAAATAACTCCCAGCTCTCATCAGGACAGAGAGTTTTTCAAAAGACAAGACAATAAAAACAAGGTTTCTCTGATGAATTATAAAAGCTACCACGGTCAACAGTGAACATCCACTCTAACTTGAGATAATCTGGAAGGATCTCATTTTGTTTATTTATTCATCTCCTGAAGTAGCAAAAAACTTCCCTGGGTTTTTGTTTTTTTTTTTCCACATTCTTTCTATAATAAGGCCAAGTTTTCCAGGCATATGGTCTATACTGTACAAGCTCCTTTTGACAGCTGGAAGTACAACGGAAAGTAGTTTTCCCCGAAGGCAAGAACCAAATAGCAGAGTTACCTAATAGCTGTAGGCTTGCATCCGAAAAATACCAAATACATTAGACCAGGTTGCAATATTTCTATCAATTTTGTTTGTATAGCAGAGAGCTATAACCAAAAAATACTCTCAAAGTACCAAGGCAATTTTGACACAAGCAACTCAGTTGGACCTATAGCTTTAGCCCAAGAATGGCAAGACCATACAGCTCAATAAAAACTAGAAACAATATAGTTTATACCAACTACTTTCAGCCTAAAATACCACTGAAGTGAAAAAGTATTAGAATGAGACATTTAGATACAGGGGAAGGGGAAGAACAAGAAAATAGTTGTATCCAAACATTAAGAAAGTGCTTTATAAAATCTAGAACAAATCTTCAAATCTGGAACAAAAATATAAGGCATAACTTTACCCCTAGAAATACAGCAGACCAGAACACTAAAGAAAATTAAGTCTCCATGTTCATTCAATTCTCAACCTCTTAGCTGACAATCAAAATACCATTAGCAATGGTTTTATGATATAGACACTTATCTGGTACCACCAACTCAGAATGAGCGGGCTCATACAGGCAGTTAAGCACTTGGGAAGTCTAAATTATCAGAAACACTGGAGTTATTATTACCAATCCTGTAAGGCACCAATTTCTACAACATCTCATTGTAAGCCATGATGTGCAACACAGCAAGCGTGCATCCTTAGCAACACTGTGTGTGTCAGATTGTAAAGCCAAAAGAAGCCATTAGATCTAGTCTGAAAAGAAAGTACTTGGATGCAGTATTTTCACTTGAAGACAGGAACATTTTCAAGAGCTTCTAGGTGATTTCAGAGTCCAAATGTCACTGATTTTCAACAAGAACTGGACACAAGTTTTACTCATATTACTAGGTTATTATTGATATGGTGTCCTAGATTTAGCTTCAAAACGTCATCACGTTAAACATATTTAGAAGAATATGTGAACATTAGATTTCATAGACATTAGGGCTGGAAGGGACCTCGGCAGATCAAGTCCAGCCCCCCACCCAAAGGACAGAAAGTCAGCTGGGGTCATAGGATCCCAGCAAGACAAACATGCAATTTATTCTTGAAGGTGTTCAATGTAGGTGCTTGAACCACACCCAATGGCAGGCTATTCCAGACCTTGGGGCCTCGGACAGTAAAGAATTTCTTCCTTATGTCCAGCCTGAAACGGTCTTGCAGTAGTTTTTAACCATTCAATCTCATCATCCCTTGGGCGCTCTGGTGAACAAACATTCCCCCAGGTAACTGGTGGCTACTTTTATTACATTAAAGAAGGGCTCTCCAACTTCTCGGCAGTCAGGGGCCTCCTCAATGCAGACCACAGGCTCCCCCCAGGCTGAGCAATGAATGGGTTGCCTCATGCATGCTCCCCCCACCCCATGGGCTTCGCTGCACTTCCCCCACCACATGGGCTCCCTTGCATTCTCCCTGCCCCCCAGCCATATGGGCTTTTCTATGTCCCCCCCCCACAATTCACCCGACCCCCAAAACCTGGGTTTCCCTGCATCCCCCCACACCACTACATGCTCTCTCCACTGCATGGGCCTATAACCCACTGTCCTCTCTCCCACCCCCCTGCCTCCCATTGTGTGGGGATCCCATGCTCTCCCATCGAGGGAAGCCACCTGGCAGTCCTGGTGCTGGGCAAACCCCTGCCTCATGGGGCACCTGGATCCTAGCATCTCAGGCCCTGCAGGGACCTGCCAACGCATCCACAGCGGTCTGGACAAGAAGTGCAACCAGAAGAGGGAGAAGCCCAAAGGCTCTGGAGGCAGCAGTTGGAGCAATGGAGGGAGCAGCACTTGTGCGTTCAGGGCGGCTCCTGAGATGCACAACACCAGAGGCTGTGCTGCGTTTGGGCACAAGCACTGCTACCGTCCTGTTGGGAGACAACCCTCAACTCGCCGTGCCCCGCTAGTGGGGCCCCCACCTCGAGGGCATTGGCAGCTCCCTCCCCAACCGCCCGCGCGGGGCCAGCGATGTCAAGGCGCGTAACGTCACCGCAGTGACGTCAGCATCCGAACGTCAAGCTAAACGAAGAGGGAGAGGAGAAAAACGCGGGGTGGGAGGACGCCACGTGCCCGGGAGAGGGCAGCGCCTCACCCCAACCACCCCCGGAACCGTCCGCGCGTCAGCGCTATGGTAACGGCGTCGCGGCAGGGAGCGGTGACGGCACCGCAGTGACGTAAACACCGCTCCCCTCCCGGCCCCACCTTCACGGCACCCCCGGTGGGGCTGGACCGGGCCAGGCTAGGC